AAACTAAGCTGCCAGGTCCTCATACGTCGAATGCGACGGAGTCCATTATATATATATATATATATATATATATATATATATATAGAGAGAGAGAGAGAGATAGATAGATAGATAGATAGATAGATAGATAGATAGATAATATTAGTGGTCAATATACATATAAATATAAATTGACTATTGAATTCAACACTCACAGGCGACAGGCTGTTTCATGCTAGACGCAATCGTCAGCCTGACGATAGTGTCTAGCATGAAACATCATCTCGCCTGTGAGTGTTGAATTTATATATATATATATATATATATATATATATATATATATATATATATAAAATGTGGACAATGATGTCAACACTAAATGTCGGCATTGTGTTTCATGACCACACTTATATTTACACACTCTCTTCTATCCAAGATGTTGAACCCTTTTATTCTATAACTATACGTTACCTTGAAATTATCATACCTTATATATATATATATATATATATATATATATATATATATATATATATATATATATAATGTTAGTGGTTAATATACACATACATATGCAATCATATATCTAAACTATATAAGTGTACATACATACATACATACATACATACACATACATATATATATGTATAAAAAATAATTCGAAGAGGATAGAATCCAGGTAGAACTCAATGTCCAGGACAAAGTAAGGATATAATAAAAAGGCATAAACACTAATATTCCATGGTGATAATTTATACCATTGGAATCGTAAATACGATTCAATTCATCAGACCTACAAATTCAAAAAGAAAACAGAAAAAAGCAACTCCGGAAATAAAAAAAAACTAGTGAGAGTGTATGTATGAGAGTGTTGGATGAATATTAGAGTAAATGAATATTCATATTTCTGTCACTTAAAGCCTCTTTAACTCCCCTCTTTAAAACTCCTCTCCGTTAAATTTTTATCCCCACTTCATCTTTAGACCTTCCTGTTCTTTTCTCGTCTGTTACCCCTCCCTATAGCTTTCATTTCATTATGGAAGATTGTAGTTTAAAAGCAGTAAAATCAATCTTGCTAACCGAACGCTCCTCTGTGTCCGAAACGGTTAAGGCACGTCAGGCTATATGACGGTTCCGTATAGGATGCAGGTTCGATTCTTATCGGAGGACGCATATTTTCTATGACAATTTCTCGGACCTTCAGTGCGGTGAATGTTGTTAATACTGTTTATTATAAAACAGAGCATTTACTTAAATATTTGTATCTATAAAAAAAAGAATGTATAAAAATGTCTTAAAATAAATGTCGGACTTTTTCCATTTCATTACATAAGTTTATACTTATGGTATATTTTTTTAGATATATACTTTGTAGATCATAAAATGTATTACTGGCAATTTTATTATATGTAATTTTATATTTATTCACTGTTACAGCGATTGTCATTTTTCTATAAAAATATATTGTTGGTCTTTTTTTTTATAAAAAATGTGCTATGGATAATTTCTTCACTGTTTACCCATAGCTGTGACCCTAACTACTGTTCCCATCCCATATCAGAGTGGACATGTGAATAACAGCAATTAATAGTTGATTCCACGCTACTTAAAATCTACAACTACCCCATCAAAGGCCTGGCAGCCGGATGTTTTTTTTTTTTATCGTCATACCCACGACGACTAAAGAAGAACAGTAGCCATTTCTTTGGAAGGAATTATTTCTCTTTAAGTCTTTTAGACAAGTTATTCTTTTTTGAAAAGAAGATTTTTTTTGAGGAAGCTCTTTCTCTTGAAAGCATTCGTCCAGTTTTCATAAATTTGGCGCCGCACCTCTTATAAAAAAAAAAGATATATATATATATTTTGACTACTGACTCCATGCATATCCTGGAATGGCTGGCCAGTGTCAAAACAAAGACCCTACTACGAGAACTAAAATATGCAACGGAAGAAGACGTAATAGTTCATTTGTGGGCAGAACCTTATATATATATATATATATATATATATATATATATATATATATATATATATATATAAAATCATGTAGTTGAGTGGTTAGAAAATTTGATATATATATATATATATATATATATATATATATATATATATATATATATAAAATGGACAAATTCCGACAATTATTTCAAGACATTTTTTATGTTTAAACATTCTTTTTATAGATACAAATATTTAAGTAAATCCCTGTTTTATTCAGGGCGGTAAATGTCACTAATACTGTTTATATATATATATATATATATATATATATATATATATATATATATATATATATATATATATATATATACATACATACATATATATATATATATATATATATATTTCAGTAACTGTCTATATTTCTGAGATGAGGTATTATGTACACTATTTACATTATTCGGAATATTGTCCTCATCTTTGTCACCATATTTATTACAAAGTTTTGGCCATTGTATGCTCCGGCCTTCTTCAGGTGGTTGGAATGTCGAACTGAAACGTTTCTTTCGCTCACTGGCGTAGACTGTTCTAATTCCACGTGCCATGTCTGATGGATATCTTTATCCACCGTGCCATATGTCCTTGAGGCGTTAGTTAGATCCAGTGACATGACCCAAAGAGTGTGAGTTCAATACCTGGTTAAGGCAGTGGTGAACTTGAAGAGGGGAATTAACAGGAGGTAACTGATAACTGACATCCATTAGACATGGCACGTGGAACTAGAACAGTCTACCCCAGTGAGCGAAATAAAGGGCTAAAGGGTTCAGTTCGACAATTCAACCACCTGAAGAAGGCCGGAACGTACAAGGGTCGAAACGTTGTAATAAATACAGCGACAGAAATGGGGACAATAGTGTACATAATACCTCATCTCAGAAAAATAGACAAATACTGAAACATATATACATATATATATATATATATGCAAATTCAAGTGGTTGAGTAGTTAGAAAATTTTATATATATATGTATATATATATACATATATATATATATATATATATATATATATATATATAATTTTCTAACTACTCAACCATTTGAATTTATATATATATATATATATATATATATATATATATATATAATTTTCACTATTGTTCTTTTTATTTTTATGATTTAATGAACGACCAACATATTCAATGGGGTATATCACATTCGTCTGTTATCAACGAACAAATGTCTTAGTTACAAAAATTAATCAAAATGCTTTGCTTCGCCTGTCCCCTTCTCATAATTCTCTTTATCACCTGTGTCCCTAAACGTCTGAAATATATGTATGTTTTAATATCTAACATTACATAACTTTCTATCTTGCGTGCTATGTGTAATTTGTGTTTGAATGTTGTATTTAATAATGGGCGAGCAATTTTTCGTCGTGGAAAACAACATTGGCACAGAGCTTAGAAAAACAAATGACTATCGACAAATCTATTAAACTTCAATAAAATATTTATAAAAAAATATGAATTTTGACAATTGCTGTTCTCCGAGGATATGCGGAAAAGTACTCAGTTGCACCAATTAATTTTAAATCAGAATGATTAGTTTATTTTGTTTTATAGTATATCAACCTCAATGGGTTATTTTAACGCTGACAAGATTTTTTTTAAGGATAGGTTCGTATGAATAGAATATGCCTTCTTTCTAAGAATCTGATCTACAAACTGTAGATCAGGTTTCATTGACATATGTTTGTAAAGGTTTTTTTTCTCGAAATTCAAATGTATTGCTGGTAATACTTTTTTACTACAAAAATGTATTTTTATATTTTCATGGTATTTTGACCCCAGTTTGGGGGTTAACTATTTGCCCATAGCTCGGGCCCTAAAAGGTGCTACAACCCCGGGTCTGGGTGGACCTGGGAACAACAGTATTTAAGAGGTGGTTCCATGCTCCTCCTGACCAGTGCTCTTGCTGCCGGCTGTAGTTTATCGTCATAACAAATTATAATTAATTTCATATTTTTTTTATTTTACTTCAGTGAGAAACTTTCAGCAGATATTCGTATTACGGAATATGTGGTTAAATAAGTGATTGGGTTCTCACTCACGTGCAAATTAATTAAAACAACCGCTTTAGTTTCTTTTCTTTCACCATTATACTCACTGGAGTGACAGGGTGTAATCGATTTCTATTTTTTTCCTCAGATTACGTCATGCAATTTGTTGTTATTATTATTGCATTACCACAGTTTATATTGCAATTTTTATTATTATTCATTGCTTTTCTCTAGATCTAAATGAAGATGAAAATAACAGTCCGAATAATGTAAATAATGCAAGTAATCATAATACCTCATCTCAGAGATATAGACAGATATATAGAGAGACATAGACTTAAAGGCCGGAGAGTACAACGGCCGAAACGTTGTGAATATGGCAATGAAGATGAGGATAACAGTCCGAATAATGTAAATAATTAAAGTAATCATAATACCTCATCTCAGAGATATAGACAGATATATAGAGAGACATAGACTTAAAGGCCGGAGCGTACAACGGCCGAAACGTTGTGAATATAGCAATGAAGATGAGGATAGCAGTTCGAATAATGTAAATAATGCAAGTAATCATAATACCTCATCTCAGAGATATAGACAGATATATAGAGAGACATAGACTTAAAGGCTGGAGCTTGCAACGGCCGAAACGTTGTGAATATGGCAATAAAGATGAGGATAACAGTCTGTATAATGTAAATAATACAAACAAAAATACGACGTCATAAAATCAGTCACTCATCCAACTACATGAAGATATTAATCAGAAAATGCTTCAAATACCATCGGCACGTTCTTCTGCTCTGATTTTCTTACACCTCTAACCAACTTTTCCAAAGCTAAACGGTGATAGTAAATAAACGACGGGGTCTGGTTTTGGTGAAACCAAAACTTCTAGTCCCGAACCTGCATGTTTTAGTTTTCAAAGCCATCATCAGAAAGGGGGCAATAAGCAAATAAGAAATTAAATTTTAGGATACGTGATAAAGTCTACGTCATTCATTTATCAAGCGGGATAATGGTAGCGCCATTTTCTTTGTCCTGTATAAGTAGCGTTAGCTCACTTCTTAACAGACCAGTCTCTTTTTTTGTTTTTGCATTCTTTTGTCTCTCTGTCGCTTTCTTCTGTCTCTCTTTCCCTCTCACTTCGCTTTCTTCCGTCTCTCTCTCTTTCTCTCTCGCTTTCTTTTTCTTTTGCTTTCTGTCTCTTTCACTCTCTCTTCGTTTTCTTCTGTCTCTCTTTCCCTCACTTCGCTTTCTTCCGTCTCTCTCTGTCTTTCTTCTGTCCTCTCTTTGCTATCTTCTGTCTCTCTCTCTCTCTCTTCCTTTCTTCTGTCTCTTTCCCTCTCACTTCTTTCTTCCGTCTCTCTCTTTCTCTCTCCTTTCTTCTCCTGTCTCTCTTTTTCTTTCTTCTGTCTCTCTCTTCTTTCTTTGTCTCTCTTTCTTCTTCGCTTTCTTCCGTCTGTCTTTCTTTCTCTCTCTTTTTGCTATCTTCTGTCTCTCTCTCTCTCTTCGCTTTCTTCTGTCTCTCTTTCCCTCTCTCTTCTTTCTTCTTTCTCTCTCTCTCTTTCTCTCTCTTTCTTCTGTCCTCTCTCTTTCTTTCTTCTGTCTCTCTCTCTCTCTCTCCTTTCTTTCTGTCTCTCTTTCCCTCTCTCTTTCTTCCGTCTCTCTCTCTTTCTCTCTTTCTTCTTTCCTCTCTCTTTGCTTTCTTCTGTCTCTCTCTCCTCTCTCTTCCTTTCTTCTGTCTCTCTTTCCCTCTCACTTCGCTTTCTTCCGTCTCTCTCTCTTTCTCTCTCGCTTTCTTCTGTCACTCTCTCTTTGCTTTCTTCTGTCTCTCTCTCACTCTCTCTTTGCTTTCTTCTGTCTCTCTTTCCCTCTCACTTCGCTTTCTTCCGTCTCTCTCTCTTTCTCTCTCGCTTTCTTCTGTCACTCTCTCTTTGCTTTCTTCTGTCTCTCTCTCACTCTCACTTCGCTTTCTTCCGTCTCTCTCTCTTTCTCTCTCGCTTTCTTCTGTCACTCTCTCTTTACTTTCTTCTGTCTCTCTCTCTCTCTTCCTTTCTTCTATTTCTCTTTCCCTCTCTTCCTTCCTTTCTTCCGTCTCTCTCTCTCTTTCTCTCTCGCTTTCTTCTGTCACTCTCTCTTTGCTATCTTCTGTCTCTCTCTCACTCTCTCTTCGCTTTCTTCTGTCTCTCTTTCCCTCTTTGCTTTTTTTTCTCTCTCTCTTTCTCTCTCTTTCCTGTCTCTTTCTTCTCTCTCTCTCTCTCTCTCTTTCTTTCTTCTCTCTTTCCCTCTCTTCTTTCTTCCGTCTCTCTCTCTTTCTCTCTCTTTCTTCTTCCTTCTGTCTCTCTCTCCTCTCTCTTTGCTTTCTGTCTCTCTTTCCCTCTCTCTTTCTTCCGTCTCTCTCTTTCTCTCTCTCCCTTTCTCTTCTTTACTTTCTTCTGTCTCTCTCTCTCTCTCTCTTTTGCTTTCTTCCGTCTCTCTCTCTTTTCTCTCTCCTTTCTTTCTCTCTTTGCTTTCTTCTGTCTCTCTCTCTCACTCTCCTTCTTTCTTCCGTCTCTCTCTCTTTCCCTCTCGCTTTCTTCTGTCACTCTCTCTTTGCTTTCTTCTGTCTCTCTCACTCACTCTCTCTTCGCTTTCTTCCGTCTCTCTCTCTTTCTCTCTCGCTTTCTTCTGTCACTCTCTCTTTGCTTTCTTCTGTGTGTCTCTCTCTCTCACTCTCTGTTCACTTTCTTCTGTCTTCTTTACCTCTCACTTCGCTTTCTTCCGTCTCTCTCTTTCTCTCTCGCTTTCTTCTGTCACTCTCTCTTTGCTTTCTTCTGTCTCTCTCTCTCTCACTCTCTCTTCGCTTTCTTCTGTCTCTCTTTCCCTCTCACTATAATTAGTGAGTGGGAAGATGACGTAGATTTATACCTTTCTGTGCGCGTAAATAAATATAACGAACCCAAATAAAAATCGGTACCCGGGTGTCCGACTAACAATCCTTTGTCATTATTCATTGCAACACCCGCATATTCAAGCCTACTGACCTGGTATTCCCAAGCAGTCCACCATATAGCTACTGACCAGACACGACGTTGCTTAACTTTAGTAGTCGTACGGGAACCTGTATTTCAACGTGACGTCAGCGCAAAACTACACTCTGGAAACAAGTGAAGCACATGAAACATACTGAAGATTTATTTTTTTGGATGGCAAAAAGGGACAAAAATTCATGGTAAAGTTTGAAAATTTAAAGTAACAGCATAGAGGAAGTTGTGGAGATATATGATCATGTATGTGCTAAAATGACTGATATAAAAAAAAGAACCGTTAACACTGTAAAATTAACACTAAATTGGAAGCGTCATTTAGCATTAGCCTAACTTTATCAGACTGGTATGCTGGTGAGAATTTAGACTGGTGTACTGGCGTACATAAAAGTAGGTCTTGTAGTAATGCGGACTGCAAGTCAGTTCGGTAGTGTTATTTAATTATGATTCTGTATCTTTTACTATTCTGAGTGTATAGGTTATAAAGAAGTACACATGACTACTTCTTTAAATCTCGAAGTTCAAAAGCATCGTCAGTTTTGTTATACTCGCTTTAGAGAGGTGTCGAGGTGGGTGTCGTCTCTCGATTATTTAGTCTGAATACAGAATTTGAAGAAAGACACCGTCACAATGGCGTCGCGTCGAGAGACTATGGTTTTACGCAGCAAGACAAATCGTATTGCGCCAAGCAAGAGGAACAAAGAAGAAGAGTTCTAGACCAATCGGTACGCACGACTAGATCGTCAAAAGAGATCGATTTACCAATGTCTGCGTCTCAAAGTCCCGGTTAACGAAGATTCGGGCACAAAGAAATAAAGTAGCCTTTGAAAATTTTGTATCATCTGATAGGGTGCGTTTTTTTTTTTCTTCCTTTTTTTTTTGTTTGTTTTGTTTTTTTGCGTCGGGTTTTCCGTAGTAAATAGACACAGATCTATTTTGAAACAGTGAAAGGGGCGGATACTGTCAAAAGCGTCCTTGAACGGTGAAGTGAACGAACGAAAACCAATAATGTCAGTCGCATAGAAGTTTATTGATATTATCCGATCTAAATGTATCTTTTGTTACGATTAAATGAATTCGCTTATAATAAGTGGCACGGGTAAAAATATATAAGGAAGCGTATATGATAATCGAGTTTGGCATATAGACACTTACCTCTCAGTATATGTGAGTCTGTTCTATCTACCACCCACCCACCCTCTCTCTCTCTCTCTCTCTCTCTCTACCATCTATCTTTACCGATCTGTACATTATATCTATCTATCTATCTATCTATCTATCTATCTATCTATCTATTTCATTCTGTTCATATCTATCTATCTATCTGTTGTAGAGTAGTTTCACAGTGGAGGCTTGTATTTCACTAAGTCGGTCCTAAAAAGGTTCGACGTAAAAAAACGTTAGGAACTTAAAATAATAGTTAATGACGCAGCAATCTAGTTGTGGTGGCTGAAACTTTAATGTCCGACATCGACTGACTCACCAACTCTCTGAGCGACTCCGCGATTGCTACTACTACTAATTATTATATGTGGGAGAGTCTATTAACAATAGAATTGGTCTGTTTTAGTATAACACTATCACACCTTCTCTGTTTATATCTATATATCTCAAGATATCTATTTTTATTTATCTCAATAAATATATAAATACCTATAAATAGATAGAGTGACGGATGGATAGATAGATAGATAGATAGATAGATAGATAGATAGATAGATAGATAGATAATATTTTTACTCTTGTATATAAAATACTTGTTATGAAATAAAATCCTTGCATTTACCTTGATAAAGTCTCTCAGAAGAAAACAATTTTTTAAATTTTTTTGTTTTTTTTTTCTTTTTGTCTTTTGTCATATTATCCTTTAACAGGATAGATTTAAGATAGATAGATAGAAAGAAATGATAGATAGGTTATTAATAAAATTAGATGGAGATAGATAGATAGATAGATAGTGAACAAAATATATAATAAAAAAACATGGGATATGATATAAACAAAGAGATAGAGACAGATAGGATAGATAGATATTAAAAGGACTAAAATGAAAAGATATGAATAGATAGATAGATGAATGGGTATTAAAAGGACTAGATAGATAGATATAAAGATAGAATGAGATAGATATATAGATAGATAGATAGATAGATAGATAGATAGATAGGTATTAAAAGGACTAAGATAGATAGATAGATAGATAGATAGATAGATATCTCATCGAATTCCATTTCCTCTTTGAATATTTATATTGGATCTGCTTCTTTCTCTTTCCCTCGCTCTGTCTCGGTGGCCTTCACTCCCTATCACACACATTCAATTTCTCTCCGTTTCTCTCTCCCTCTCTCTGTTTAACTTTTTCAGTGTAAATTCTTAAATCAGATGAACTACATTGTCTGTTCAAATTTAAATGAAAACACCGGGAGTATATTAAATAAAAATTTGCATATTTCGCAATACTTTCCCACCGATTACTCACCTCCCCATATATATATATATATATATATATATATATATATATATATATATATATATATACACACATTTATATATATATATATATATATATATATATATATATATATATATATATATATATATATATATATATATATATACACAGAGAGAGAGAGAGAGAGAGAGAGAGAGAGAGAGAGAGAGAAGGCACGGTGGATAGCGGCTTGGGTTGAGGAATCGAAGAGCCGAGTTCGAATTCCAGTCGAATCCATTACATTCACTTACTTTCGGTTCTGACATCAGTCGGAGATTCTCACCTCGGCCATCAGGCAGTCAGTGGTGGGCTATATACGCTCCCTTTCGTGGATCGAGCACTTTTGGAAGAAAGGGAGTTTTAACACATTATATAAAATATATATGTATTACCGGATATATATATATATATATATATATATATATATATATATATATATATATATATATATATATATATATATATAGTGTGTGTGTGTGCGTGTGTTTATTAAGACAAATATACTTAAATGACTATAGTTGATAACAGAAGTCATTGGTTTAACACAACGGCTTCCAATTCTGTGTTTGTCGTTGCTTGGAAATCTTCCATGCTAACAAAAACAGACGATCATTGTTGCTATGTTCGTGTATTGTTTAATTTATTGTAATGTACTTGTCATCTTTGAGGATGGCTTATGTAAGGATTAAAAAAATATATCAATATAGTGATTTTTGTTTGTCTTTCAATGATACTGTTATCAGACGAAATGAAAGGACTTTGCTTGAAATAAAAAGACAAAACTCGTCTGTATTATTTAATGAAGCATGCATTTATATATATATATATATATATATATATATATATATATATATATGTGTGTGTGTGTGTGTGTGTGTGTGTCTGTGTCTGTGTGTTTATAACAAATATATAACAAATATGTTACTTTCAAAACAGAAAGCTTAAGAATAGGATATTACTGTAAGGTATCATTCTTAATGCAAGTAAACTTTTTAATATTAGTGCTCCATTGTTTGGTTCGATTTGGTTTGTTTTACGGCATATAAACCTGAATGGGTTATTTGATGCCGACAAGATTTTTATTGCTGGTATTATTTTTTTCAGAAATGTATTCTTGGTAATAATATATTTCTGGCAATAATTTTTCTTCAAAATTCATTGCTGGAAATATTTTTTTCAGAAATGTATTCTTGGTAATCATATATTTCTGGCAATAATTTTTCTTCAAAATTCATTGCTGGAAATATTTTTTTCAGAAATGTATTTAAACATTCTATGTGTTTAAACATATTTTTACACTTTCATCGTATTTTGAACCCAGTTTGGGGGTTAACTATTTGCCCATAGCTGGGATGTTAACAGGTGCTATCAAGCCGGGTCGGGGTGGACCTGGGAACACCAGAAATTAAGAAGTGGTTCCACGCTCCTCAAGACCTCTTTATCAAAGGCTTTATTGTCGGATGAAGTTTCTCGTCTTATCCCGGTCACAGATATTGTTTATCGTCATGTTAGGATATATATATATATATATATATATATATATATATATATATATATATATATATATATATATATATATATATCCAAGTATATAATTGGTATATACGGAATGAATTCTAAAAAACCAACAATTACTATTCTTAAATTTGGATTCTAAAATTGCCAGTTTTTAATTTAAATATTAAATTTTATGATATAATTTTATAATTATTGGTTAGTATAAATTATTTTTAATATTATCCGTATTTTAAAGATCTGAATAGCTATTATAACATGATTTCGTTGTCAAGCTTTTGAATCTTTCTATACTTGGTTTTGATTGGTTATTCTAGCTTTTGTAACAATGTCCCCCCTAGTGTAGGATCGTTAATTAATCTGAAACTTTTAAAACCATTTATTTTATCTTCAACATCATCACTTGATAAGACACCGAGGGTGTTGAAACAAAATAGCTATTTTTGTAGTGATTTTATAACATATTTATGTTATAATTTTTTTATAAATAATAAATATATATATATATATATATATATATATATATATATATATATATATATATATGCCTGTGGCCTGACAATTGCATATAGCATGAACCAGTCTGTCGCCTCTAAGTGTTGACTTCAATGTTCACTTTTATATTTACACACGCTCTATCTCTGATATTGAGCACTTTATTCCATAAATATAGCAAACCTTAAGACTATATTTCTGTATATATATATATATATATATATATATATATATATATATATATATATATATATATATAAACAAATGAGAACTAGAGACAAAAGTTCATTTTCTCCATCAAGGCATTCATTTCCGTAGTTCACTGTTACCAGCAAGTAGAAATATTTTTTCTCCAGATGATGGCCATTTTGGCCGAAACTAGTCGAGGAATCTAAATGAAATAATAATGAAAAAAAAAAAAAAAACGAAAGAATGTTAATCTACAACCCAGTGTGTCTGAAGATTTTAATATTTTGTATTGTTCAATATATATATATATATATATATATATATATATATATATATATATATAATGAAAACATAATTTTAAGATATTCTACATTTGTGGGATAAAGTGCTGAATATCAGAGATAGAGTGTATGTAAATATAAATCTGAACATTGAAGTCAACACTAACAGGCCACAGGCTATTTCATGCGAGACGCAATCATCAGGCCTGATGAAACAGCCTGTTGCCTCTGAGTAGACTTCTATGTTAACTTTTATGCATATATATATATATATATATATATATATATATATATATATATATATATATATATATATATATATATAGAGAGGGAGAGAGTGGAGAGAGGTTGCATGGTGAAGTAATGGATAGCAGCTTGGACTAAGGAATCGGAGATCCGAGTTCAAATTCCAATCGAATCCATTCCATTCACTTACGTGCTAATACCCTTGCAAAAGGTATGTATCCTCTACTTCTTCCTCCAGCTATGGGTAAATAGCAGGACAGACTGGGTTCTATAGCCTTGGATGGCAACTGCTCTAGGACAACCCTGAATTCAAAACCTGTGGAGGGTTGTTTGGGGACCTTGTGGCACGTAGTGCACCAGGTCTCTATATTCGGCCCTTCAAAAGCCTTCACCATTATAATCAAATCTCATTCTCTCGTGTCTGGCTCTCGGTTCCTAGGAGCTGAGCTGCTTCACCCTCACACGTCGAATACAACGGGAGAGTCGAATACACATACACACACACACACACACACACACACACACGCATACACACACACACATATATATATATATATACATATGTGTGTGTGAGTGAGTGTGTGTGTGTGTTTGTGTAGGCTTTGATTAATAAATACGTTACCTGAAAAGTGGTTAAATTTTTAATTAGAATATTCATTGTATAATATTTGATTAATGTAATAAATATTTACAATTGAATAAATTGCATTGACAAGAAAATATATGTCGCAAAATGAATATCTGTTGTGTTTAAAATAACTTCTTTTTCAGTATTAAGCTATGTATTTGTAAAAGTAGATGTGAAAATCATTTGCATAAAAATCAATAAAAATCTACTATAATCGATTCAGTTTCAGCTTTCCTTAATACATTGATTCCTTAATATATTGATTTACACTATCTTATCGATTTTGACACCTGCAAACTCGAAGCAGGTCTTCACAAGGATAGATGGAGATGATTATTCACGATCGATTTCTCTTGGATAAACAATTCGAGAAGTGTTGAAAGAAAATTAGTTTGTTCAGGATCTCCAACGTTTGGAAAATCCAACAAACATCATTTACGTGCTTTCCAGTTGGTGAAAAATATGTCCTCGTCTATTTCACTGCCTAAGAAAT